AAATGTGCCAGCCAGGCAGGTATGACTGCTTATGGGACTCGAAGACATCTCTATGATCCAAAAATGCAAACTGATAAACCATTTGACCAGACGACAATTAGCCTACAGATGGGAACTAACAAAGGGGCCAGTCAGGTAAGCAATGCTGTGTGTCATGTAATATATCATGAAATCAGTTCTTGTGAAACTGCCTAATTTTGGCGGGCAGGCCAGTGGCATAACTGAAGGAGTGGTTTCACTGGGGAGTCCTCAGGTGAGAGTACAGGAAGGCAGATTTCATTAATGGTATCTTGAAGTAACTGGAAAGAGCCAAATTCCTTGTTGGCAGCTGACCTGCTGGCCCTTAAGTTCTTTTCAGCAAGGAGCAAGCAAGGACAGAGTACCTTTCACAGCTCCTGCCTTAAGTTGTGATGAGCCAGAAAATGTCACTTCACATACTGACAACCAAACTGAAATGAAAGATTGCTGCCAGGGTTGTAATATAATTGGATGTCAAATGCACTCTTTCCAGAAAGTGTGTCCCCTTCCCTCCAGCCAGGTGTTTTCCTGTCCCATGGGGTGGGTTATGGAGTTAGATCTTTCTCACTGGCTTTCTACAGCAGTTCAGCATGCACAATTTACTGAAATTAGGTTACAACACTTAATTCATTTGGGGTAGAATTATCCTAATGGTACTTTGTTAAAGCTATCTTAAAATTCACTTTTTTGTGTTAGGCTGGAATGCTGGCACCAGGGACCAGAAGAGACATTTATGATCAAAAACATATATTACAACCTGTGGACAACTCTACTATTTCACTACAAATGGGCACCAACAAAGTGGCTTCCCAGAAGGGGATGAGTGTGTATGGGCTTGGACGACAAGTGTATGACCCCAAATATTGCGCTGCACCAACAGAACCCGTAATTCATAATGGAAGCCAAGGAACAGGAACTAACGGGTCAGAAATCAGCGATAGTGATTATCAGGCAGAATACCCAGATGACTATCACGGAGAGTACCAAGATGACTATCAAAGAGATTACCATGGTCAGTACAGTGACCAAGGCATTGATTACTAGATTTGTATCAAAAGCTCAATATTAGTCCATTATTTTATTCAGTTAAAAACGAAACTAGCCTTGTGGAATTGTTACCCATCTTCCCTACACACTATACTTAATGTACCTAAAGAAATATTGCCTTACATGCATTCCTTTTTCCGCCCTTTCCCTCTCTAGTTGCCTTTAGTGCTGTAACAGTTGTAGTCTACAGCATAACCAATAACTGCATATGAAGTAAAAAGGAATACTGTGAAAGCGGGAGTGCTTTTGTACAGCCAGTCTCTTAATTAGGAGCTATGCATTTTCAGTCTTCTTACTGAATAAGCATGTTACATACCACATCAAAGCCTTGTTGTTTTTTGTTTTGTTTTTTTACTTATTTACTGCTTACCAGGTTTCTGCATGAAAGACAAAGGACTTTCATGCTTAAAGTTAATATGGTTTCTGCCAACTACATCTAAGATGCAGCATTAGTGATCTAAAATCATTACTTTGTTTCTACAGTATTGTTTCGTAATGTTTGAAGTCATACATTAGATACAGTAAATGTGCATTTGTGACTAAGTGTATTCATTCCATTATCTAAACTGACCAAACTCCTAGAAATAGTTGTCTTACTAAAAAGGGAGCTTGTACAGAGTCTTGAGCCAACAAAGAACCCATGTTTTGGTGCATTTACTTTTTATTGTGCCATAATGTATCCATGTAGAAATGCTTTTTTCTTTCTTGAACTATATTTATTGCCACACTTCTCAACTGATCCCATTGTATTTTTATAAATAAATTTTTTCTTGAAGGTACCTGGAGATTTTGTTTAGTTTTATTACACAAACAAATGAGCTGCCCTGGAAGTTACCCTGGCAGTTGAACATTTTAACCTAGAACAGCTCAAATGTAGTAGTTTTGGGTATCTCTGTTTGAGAGATTCCTTTCAATATAAGATCCCTGGATCACTCTGCACATCTCACCCAGAGTACAGTGGTCACAGCAGTTTCCTCTGCTCATCACTGACAGCTTATATGCATGGTTAGGGACCTGTATGTTATGACAAGGACAAGGGGGCAAGCAGTCTAACTCCAGGTTCTGCACATGCACATCTTGCTTCTCTACTTCACCCCCTACACAGCTTCTGGCAGAAGCAAACCCAATAGTTCTTATTTTAGATGGGCCCTTTGATGTGCCTTTACATAAGTAAAACATTTTTATATTAATACTCAAACATTCTGGACTTGTAGAGAGACATAAAATTGCTTGTAGCTCATTCAGTTAGTTCCTGATACTTATTTTTGATGAGAGATGGCATGTCCCAAGTTTAGCTGGAAGGTAGGATAGGAGATGTACCTTAGAGATACCTTATCTATTTATATTTTAACTCACCATCCCAAGTAGCTCTGTGTCAACAGAACTGCAAGCAGATGAACTGGCTAAGATGGGAAGAAATTTCCCATCACAGCTACCCTCTACAAACTGAATTTACTTTATTTTTCTGAAAATAGCTTCAAGTTTGTTAACTCAAATATACATGGAGGTGACTTCTGAAAACCTACATGTTAAATGACATGTTTAGAAGCAGTGCTATGACTGACATTGATAGCTTTAATTTTTAGCACTTTTCTTAAAAAAAACCCCAATCCTCAACTTGCTGCTCTCATTTAAGTCAAAGTGTAACCCCCATTAGCCTTCAGTGATATAGGTTCAGTCTTTAAATCCAATTCCTTATATATCCATTACCTTGGAAAATAATGACAGGCAATTTGCTTTCCTCAGTGCATTTCATTTTGCATTTTTGATTCTGAAAGTAGCTTATGGCATCATGATTTTGAAGTTAGTAATTAATCCATTATGAAATGGAAGTGTATATATCAGAATTACCTCCTTCCCTTGACCTTTTCTGAAAAGCCTAGATTACTAGGTTAAGACTTAAACTTGCCCAAATTCACACAAATCTTATCCAGCAGTGTAGGTGTTGAATGGAAACAAAGGAGAGGGTGGATCAGAGAAATTACTACTACTTCCAGACTACCCAAAAAAAGAGCCTGGCTTTCTTCTTCCCAAATCAATTCTGTTTAATAGATTAATAAATGCCCCCTTTGTTCTATCACTTTTTATAAGTGTGTGTATCTTAATTCTGCTGTTACTTTAGAAGTAGCTTTACTGGAGATTTCTCTGGAAGGAAAGCCTTACCCCACCACAGCAGCATGTGATGGGTTTGGTCCTTCACCTTAAGGAGGCAGAGCTGGGGAAGACAGTGCATGAACACTTGAAAGAAAACCTGGATTTTACTTTTGTGTCTTGGGCTCTTAAAAAAAAAAAAGGGGGGGGGGGAAGAATTTCAGTTTGTGTGCGTTTTAATTTATCTGAGAGCCAAAACGTTGAAAAGTAACTATAGCAATCAAACAAGATCAAGAGACTGAAAGCCTTAACCTGAAAGCAAGAACATTGTTCAAATGTTTTCCATTTCTCAGAATGTGTTTAACAGGCAATTTGGGAAACTGCTTTCTTATAAAAAAGCAAATTCATAAGTGCATTAAAATGTGCAACTGAGTTACAACCATCACTAACAGATAAAGCCATGCAAAAAGGACACCACTTGCCATACGGACACAAGGCAGGGATGGTGATAGCCTTAGAGACTGCCCTGCCACCTACCTGACTTCAAACTAACACAGCTAACTTACCTCTCTTTACTATACAGAATAAAGCAATCAAGAAACAAGGTATGAAAAGATAATACGCTAGAGCAATGGCTAGGAATTCAGTGCCAATGTTATTTGGGAACTAAACACTGTAAAGCTTAACTTCCACAATGTAACAGACTTGTTAGAAAAATGTATTTATTTTAGTGTACACAAGACTTCTATAGATAAAAGGATCTATTTAAGGGTCTACATGAAGTTATAAAGGTGATTGGATTTAAAAGGAGATGGAAAATTATCCTATAGCATCATCTACCATTCCCTCCCTTTGTCTGGCAGGTGGGACAAAAGATGATGCCTCTTCCCTGTTTGCTCATCATCATCATCCTTCCATAGCATTACCATTTTCTCTCAGCAGCTCCTGAACTCTTTAAGGTGTCTCATGATACAACAGCATGCACAGAAGACAGTAAAACTACACCAGGGTGAGGAATCGGCTCTTAACAACTGCTAAGAGATTAAAAAGTCTTGTCCTTGCTCTGCATAGCAGAGTATTAGCTACTTTTGTCTCTTAACTAAGCTTCCCTGCTTTGCCAGCTTTCACTTCTGAATTTAGTCCCTCCAAAATGCTTGCTTTATTCTTTGGGCAAAGACAAAAATTTTCACTTACCTGGAAAAAATGATCCTAGATTGAAACCACCTGTATCACTTCTGAATTTTTTTAAAAGACATTCTCAGATTTCCCACTCAGCCCTGACTTCCGCCTGAAGGTTCAAGCAGCTCTGGGGGGTGGGAAAAGAAAAAGGATTTTGTCCTGCTGAATAAAATTATAGCATCATGGCTAAATCTAGATGAATTAAGTAAATTCATTCTAACACTATGAGCATTTGAAGCCCTTTTCAGTTGTATCCCAAGACAGTCTCCCTATTCGTGGGATTGCAGAACAGTGAGACCATGAAAAATTAACATATAGCTTCCAATTTTACAACTCCATGACAAAACAACTCCCCCCCACACCCGCTTTTGGGGGCTTTATTTATAACTTTCCTGAACTACTTTCTCTAGCTCCTTTTCCTTTATTCTAAACCTCTCCACAGATTTCCATTCTTTGCCATTTCTTCAACCTTTTCCTTATGGGTTCAGCTGTCAGATACTAAGGAAAATGCTCCCACATCTACTACTTCAACCTTGCATCCCAACCCCTTCCCATTATGTCTCTTCTCTTCAAGATTTCCTCCTACAGCTTCGTCTCAACATAACCAAGTCTGAGCTCATCTTTCCTCCTTTCTTTGTCATGTTCAAAGTGGCTAGTTATTTTTAATTTTTAAGTATGAGGATTCAGAGAAGAACTAAGGGCTGTTCACAATCTTAACTGTTGAAAACATTTACCTACAAGAGTATACAATACTTCAGCCATTCTCCTAGCTAAATAGACTGCAGTTTCCTTCCAATGAGACCAGTATTGCTCCTCAGTTGCCTGCAGCCATTGTGGAGCCCTACTGAACAACTCAGGTGGAAATGATCTCAAGGCATCTTCTCTATAATGTTTTGCATTTGTGGATCCAAGGACTATTGGCCATGTTTTCTACACAGATGCATGCAGAATTACTACTGCGGTACCTGAACTGACATATTCAAAGAGTTGATACCAGAAGGATAGCTCTTCAACCTTGTTTTCAGACAACACCACCAATCTGACAGAAGAACTTTATTACCATAACTTTCATGAAACAGCTTAACTTCTTGTACATTTTAATAATGACAGATATGATGAAAAATCCACTACTGTACTAAGAGACTGTGTTTAATTCTTCAGTGCGAGAGGTACAAATACTATTAACAGATCTAAGTTACTTTGTCCCAAAGTATCTGTGTCCTTCACTTTGTTTTGTCTGAGTTTTGCTGCTGCAGTTTAGCCTGTATGCTTTCAGGTCCATTTCAAGTTCAAGCCTACACTCAGAGAGAAGAGTATCAAATATGTAGCACTGATCTTGTTATCTGTATCCAAATGTTCTTAAAAGTAATCTGCAAAAGAATAAGCAGCCTTCATGCATCTGAAAATCCAGGACTGCCCTTGATAAAATGTAAGGGTAAAAAGAAACTGGTTTTACAGTCCACTTCTGTGGTTTTCTGATTTTTTAGCTAAATATAATGAAAGACTGAAGGAAGGAAATGTGAACATAATAAAACTTAAAATTGTGCATTCCAGTCCAATGGCTTAGGCTATTATTTCCCTATAACATAATGCTTAGAATAAAGTGTAAGTGAGAGTGCCAGAGACTGTGACCTTTAGAATGAATCAAGAAAATAGTCACCAAAAGATATATTTTATTTTTGTCCCTAATGCACTTTAGCAGGATAAAAAGCAACTGCTACGACAGAAGCTTTATCAGCCAGCTCTTGCTCCTGGCCTCGGGGGGAGGGGGTGACAATCACAGTTCTAAATGGTGGGGCTGTCCTCAGCTGGAATACATTGGCATAGCTCCATTGAGGTCAACTGGTAAGCTTTATTCTTATAGTCTTCAAGGCTGAAATAGCCCTTTGGGGCACTTCTCCTTTCTTGAATCTCATCAGTTTTAAACAACAGCAGAAGTCAAATAAGAAGGTCATTTCAGAACCAGTGGCCAAACCTTTCCCTTCATCAGAACATTGCTTGGTGCAGGGAAGCTGGGAATCTACTCCAGCCCCAGGGAAGCCGTTTCTCCCTGATATGCTCCTTACATTGGGTCAGGGGAAAAATGGCTGGCACAAAAGTCAGTTCTGTCCATTTTACAGCAGCAAAAATTCATTGCTGGCCACATACAGCCAGAATCCAGCCCCGTTAGGAACTAGCTCGGATGTTCTTGTGTCAGCACTGATGATGATAGAGGAGGACAGAGAAACAAACCAGGGTCAGGAAATAAATATTTACAGTCTATGCCCAGTCTTTTTTAGTGCACGATGGGAGACAACCGTTATCTGACGTCCATGTTGCACAGCCTTTGTTGCTGTCTCACCATAGGCTGGAGTTCTGTCCCATCATCACTATTCTGGAGGGTTTTCCTGTTTCTGTGCTTTTTCTCCTCATTTAGCTTGTTGCTCTGCTTCACAAAGCTCTACAAAGCGGAAATAAGAATAAGGTCATCCAGGACTTTAAATCTTTGATCAGCCAGCTAGTTCCCAGGGTGAGGATGCTGGCTGATACCAAGCATGTACTCTGCAAGACCAGGAAGGAAATTACTGACACTGAGGGGCAGGAATCATTCTACTACATTCCTTACTAGAAATCTTCCCTTCATGCTAGTTTCTAGGACATGGCTAGCTGCACAAGAAGCAAAGACCACAGTGAAAAACAAGCTACTATGAAGAGTGAGAGAAGCATCTTAAGACAGCTGTGCAGTACAGACAGGGAAAGGCTGTAAACCATCTTCTCCGGGAAAAATTCAGGTGAGACATATTATGGCATTTGGCAATTAGCATGAGATTGCTGGAAGGGTCTCTTATTCTAAGGTGACTGGAGAGCAAGGTTCCAGAGTTTTCAGTGCAGGAAGGTACCATTATTCAGACAGCACTGCAGCATGCGCTGATTTTTAAATATGTGTTTAAGTGTTGACTTAAACCCTGCATATTGCTCAAAATGATGAAACCCATTCAGGCAGCATTTTTTTAAATTTAATTCTATAAACATTACATGGGACAACAAAGGGGTTTTTAAATCTGAAATTATAGCACTGTCCCTCAAGAAATCCATCCAGAACAACCACATAATATGAGTCATTCTGGCTGCTGAGTTTATTTCTCATGGCTCGATAATACTTTTTTTGTCACATGGTATATCAGGAGAAAGACAGCACTGGCAAAGAGTGTGAAAGGAAAGCACATCTACTTCTTTAACCTTCCTGGTCATGTGAAAAGGCAGGCACATGTACATTTAAACATTCCACATATGTCGGTGCAACTAAAAATATCCTTTGTCATCATTAACTACCGAGCACATGTTAAAACTGAAGCTGTCTTCATAATCCTTCTAATGATTCACAACACAATGTCAGGAATACGGCACACTAATTATGAAGGTATAAATCCAAAACAATCCGGTAGAGAGGAAGAAAGCTACAATCAAGAACCTATGACCATATTTTGGCATAAGACTCCTACTGTGTGTGGTCAAGACAGATTGGTTTAAGTCTGTGTGGTACAGATGAAGCATGTTCAAAATTAGTGTTAACAGGGCTTACCACAGAGACCAGGCACAACTAGAGGAAATGCTGAAAACTGAGATGCCAGAGATCTAAATATTTAGTCTTAGGTCTTGATATGGATTGGACTCTATCCACTGGATTACCTATGTATTTGCTATGCACCAATAATGTACTCTGCACATGGAGGACACAAACTTCTTTACCTGGAGTCTAAAAGACTGAAGATGATGAGAACTATTCTACAGGGAGATCCAAAGACAGGCATTAACTTCAGTGCATAATTTTTGTTCCCCCCACTTTGAGGCATCAGACAGGAAAGTGTATTCGTTGTTAATTAGTGTTTGTGACACTTTTGTGGGGGAGGGAAGAAAGCAAATTTTAGGCACCAAGAACACCAGTTGATCAGTATTCAAAATACTTTACTTAATTTATCAGCCTGCTGTATGTATACATTTGTCATGGGAATTTACCAGTAAGTCTTGATCCATGAAGTATGGCTTCTCTGTAGATCCATCATTTGTTTCTATATCAATAACAAAGCAAAGGAATAGCGTATCCACAACTACTTCAAACACTGATAAAAAGTTGTGGGATACTAGGTAGGCAAAAAATGAAACCAGCAAGAGTGGAACTACCCACACGTGTAACTCACGATGGTAGTTAAAAGCCATTAATCCTGCAAAAACAGTAAAGCATACAACAAATACCTGTATGTGGGGGAAAATGCAAAAAAAAAAAAAAAATTAGTCGTCTATGTTTATTGGAATACACATCAAAAAAGCCAAGCAAATGCCTCAGTGGCTAATCTTCAACAGGCTTTATTTATTTCAAAATGGGATGGGAAGGTCTGAAATGAATCAGCCTGAACTTCATCTACTGGTGGTGCTCCACTCAGAATCATGTGATTACTATTATGGTCATCCCCGTCCTCCTCCTATTTATGCCCACTTGTCATGCCTTGTCTTAAATTAGCCTGTAGATTCTACAGGCCAGGGACCATCTCTCACTATGTTGGTTCAGGACCTAATGCAATGGGGGTCTGAGCTGGATGGGGGCCTCTGGATACTATTGCTACTACGAATACTACTGCTGCTGTTGTTGCCAATGCAACAATTATGAATAGGAACAAACTAAATTCCTCAATGAAGAATTTTCCTTTCCCTTTATAGTGCAGCTCTACAGACTCACTCATGACGTGTGGAAACAGAATTAGGCCTACCACTTGAGCTCATTACTACCAGACTGGACCTTTTAGTTAACGATTAAGAGTTTAATATGTGGAGTTTGTAAATTGTGTTTTCTTACCTTCCCTAGGAAAATTATAAAGTCTCCAAAGCAGTTAATGGATGCCAAAGCAGTAGAATTCTTTGCTAAAATAAAGAGAACATCCTTTGCTGAGGTACAAAAATTTGTCCCATTTATAGCCGTGGTTGTGTACACATGCTGAAATAAGAGAAGGTAATATGACTGGGGTAAAAATGACTAAAACTATATTATCAAATCCTTAAATTGTACATAATTAATAGTTTCTTTCATAATCTTGCAATTTAACTTCAAGCAAGTATCATTATGCCTCCAATTCCTAATGGACTTCTCATCTAGTTTCTGCTCTATGTACTGAACTTCTATATGAAATAAGGACTGGAGTAATATCAATATTTCTGAAACTCTCTCTGTCCAGTTTCTTTTGAAACTTTGGAGATCCCTACTTTAAACCTTTGGTAGTGAATAACTAAAATGACACACAAATTGCAGGGGAAAACTTATCTGGATATGTGCCATCTTAACACTCTTTTTATATATACACCAGCTAAATGCACAGTAAGTTGTTTAAATGAAACAAAGCAACTTATATCAAGCTTTGTCTACTCAGAAGTTACGATTAAGAATATTTTTATATGTGGACCTTCTGCATGTTTTTGAGAATTTTTACATCCATAACCATGAAACAGAATTTTTTCAGGATTAGTTTTCATTTTCTTTTGGAATGTGGAATTTTGCCAAGACAAACTGGAGAATAGGCTAATTATCTATTACTTTAGGGTTGCTCCATCATCTTTTAAAAAATGATCTATTCAACATATTGAACTCCTTAATGAAGTGTTTGACTTATTGCCTCAGTAATCACCTGGGGGAAACGTCATTCAAGATGTATGAAACCGTTAGTTATGCAGTAGTTTGCTACAGAGACTGATTAACAGCTGTCTTTTTCTCAGAATGCTGGCAGGTTTATTATACTTTCTGGAAGTATTAGAAAACATCAGTTAAATTTGGTATGCTTGGTAGCACTAGTAGTATGCAAGGGATTATTGTGCAAAAGGAATTTGTAAACCCCAACATTTAGTTTGGGATTAAAATACTCTGCTTGTGAGTGAAAAAACATTCTGCTGAAAGGAAAATATATAGATTGTCCAGCATTTCTAGCCTAACATTCCATTTTCTTTTCTTACTATAAACACACTTTCTATCTACCTTTACATTCGTGTGTGTATACAGTACTGGCTTGTAAGAAGAATGCAGAAGCTGCTATAATAATTTGATATGACCATACCTTAAACTGTGCTAAGGAGAAAATAGAGTAAAATCAAATGCAGACCTTTTGTATCTGTGTAGCAGACACTGACCACAACCGTACTACCTGCTTAAAATTTAGATGCTTTTGTGCATTTTGTTAGGTTGTGGTCTTGGTCACCAGTAACCAACATACAGAATAGTGCATCAGTGTCTCAGACTAGCCAGTTACAAACAGTCGTAGATCAAACGGGCTCTTTCATTCTGGATACTAGGTTTGGCTTCATGTAAATACCACAGCTCATTTGGAAAGATCTTCCCAGATCTTGCACTCTGGAACGCTCCCAACATTCTCTAGACGTTCAGATTTTCCCTCTTGTTTTCTACTTATTGAAACATTTACCCACTTGTTCCCTTTCCCCAAACACTTTTTTGTTGTATGAGTGGCAGACCAATGCCAAGTAAGAACTTACTTTTATTTTGAAAAAAAAAAAGCTGAATTTAAGTATGGTGTTTTCTTCTACAGGCACTACACTCTTTCCTTACACACCAGAGCCTTTGTTTAACACATTGCGTTGGTACAGTCCTTGCAAAACCTCTAGGCAAGTAGTTATGTTATTAGACCAGCACCACCGATCAGAAAGCGTAGGATGTGATAAGTAAGATACTGTCATCATTCTCGTACTGGAGAATTAGGGTACCACAACTGCTTTTTTGAAGAACACAACCATCTCTGGTTTGAAGCCTGGGAACTTGACACATATTTTCAGTATTAGGATAGATAAATAGGGAATGTGAATGTTTATGTATTTCCAAATATCACAGTATGTAAGAAAACTATTTAGAAAAAACATCCTTCGGTGCTTCAAAACATAGAATGTCAAGGGTCTTGGAAAAACTGACCTGCTAGTTTCATGAGAAAGGCACTGTGGCAGAGATCCAGGCTGTAAGTTCCCTGTTTGTTGAGAATAATTGCTACTTTGTGTAGCAGCTGATTTCAGTCTTCCATTCTAGGACTGGCTACAACAAAATGAGCTCAGTGAAAGAGGACTGCCATAGCAACAGAATCTTCTTTTAAAAAAAAGCCCCAAATAAGCTGGTCAGACATGCCACTTCAACTTCTTCTGCCCTATTGATATTTTCAGTCTGACATATTTTTCTCCCTGCAGCAACTCTCTCAAGAGTCAGTCTGGCTGCTGATTGCCAGCGCAGTATGGCAGATCCAAGATTGGATTGTGATGGCTCTAGGCTGATAAGTGTTTGAGGCACTAGAAAGACTTTCTCAGAAACAAAAGTGGGTGGAAATAAGAGACTACAAACATATCCTGGCTAGAGCATACAGCAATGACTTACTGACTCATGCTGGAGCAAGTTATGTCATGGCATTTCTTGACAGACCTGGGGAAAGTGCAGAAGGAAGGAAGTGGAGGACTTCTTTGATGATCCTGAAAATACCACTTCTTAGGAACAAAGGACTAGAGCAAGGGACACTTAGGGTGCATGCAGATGAGCACAGACATTTGTTTCCCCAGGGACAAGTAGCAGCAGCACATCTTGCTCCTTGTACCCTTGCTACTTGTGCCGGCACTGCTACTTGTGCCCTGCTACCGGTCCCCAGGGAACGTCCATGCCACGCTTATCTTAGGTGGGGAAGGGGAGGCTGGGGACAGCAACTGTGCTGATCCCAGAAGCCTTTCCTGAGGTCCTGGGGGCCTCCTAGGGCTGCAACCAAGGCAGGAACCCTGGCCAGCAGCTGGAACGTAGCTTTGGCCAGCCAGGCTTGGGTTTGGGGCAGCACATGCTGCTGCCACATGCGCTGCCCCACTTTTTTTTGGTGTGCATTTTTTTGACCCTGGGATCTGCCAGGGTCAGACCCCACCCCCATGCTGCAAAGTAGCAGCATGGGGAATGCCTGCATGTCCAGTGTGTGGTGCAGCAGCTGGGTCTGCAGTGCCACATACTGCATATCCATTCTCATCTGGATGCACCCTTAGGTGGTAAAACCCAGTCCCCAGTTATTACAGGCATCAGAGTTGTGGATTTTTCTCCCATACCTTCTGTTGCAGTGTTTCCCAAACTTTTCTTATTGCATACCCTTTCGATATTTACCAGCTGCCCACATATCCCTACCAATCTACTTTTTGATTTTAACCCCTTAAATTCCATTTATTCTAATGAAAATTAAATCTGCCATTACACGATTTCTCCCAAGTACCCCCAAGAGATGTCTTGCATACCCCCAGGAGTACAAGTACTACACAGAACAGGGAACCTCTGTTCCTATTCAGTGATCATATCTCCTCCCAGTCTTTGTTTAGCAAGGCTAAACAAGCCAAGCACTTCTAGTCTCCTCTTGTATCACACTCCCTCCTTCCTTGATCATTCTAGCAGCCCCTCTCAGTACCTCTCCTAGTTCATCTTTTTTTTAAAGAAGGCAACCAAAATTGTATACAGTACTCAAAATGAGGTCTCATCCCTCATGAGTACTACTAGCATCCCCTTTTATCTCTGCTGGAAAGATGTCCTCCTTTATCTCTGCTGGAAGGAATTTACCCAATGAATCTTAGCATCACGTTTGCCTTTTTTATGACTGCATCACACTAGTGATTCATACCTATTTGGTGATCAGCTAATAGGGATACTTTTCCTTCTCTGTTGCTCCCGGCTTAGGGTACATATTATTAGTTATTAAACCATAATAACAATGATCTTGAGCATTGAATTTTTAAATTTCATTCCATTTCTATTAATCACCCTTAACACTATCCAGACTTCAAAATCATCCTGACATTCTGATCTTCCTTTGCTACTGACAAGACTTCCCAGCTTCGGTGTTTTCTACAAATTTCATTAGCATTTGTGAACCATGCAGTACTTTAAGAGTTAGCCTTCTTCAAAACGCTGTGCTTCTGAATTCCTCATTAATCACCCCCTTACTTAAAAAAGGGAGTATCATTTTGCAAACACTAAAGGATTTCCAGAGATCATAGTCAAACATGGGATCAAGTCCATGTTTTTAATCAGGAGTTTATTGTGAGGTCAATAGTTCAGTTCATAGAATCATAGAAAATAAGGGTCGGAAGGGACCTCAGGAAGTCATCTAGTCCAACCTCCTTCTCAAAGCAAGACTATCCCCAACTAAATCATCCCAGCCAGGGCTCTGTCAAGCTGGGCTTTAAAAACCTCCAAAGATGGAGATTCCATCACCTCTCTGCGTGACTTGTTCCACTGCTTCCCCACCCTCCTAGTGAGAAAGATTTTCCTAGTATCCAACCTAAACCTCCCTTGCTTCAACTTGAGACCATTGCTCCTTGTTCTGTCATCTGTCACCACCGAGAACAGTCCAGCTCCATCCTCTTCAGGCAGTTAAAGGTTGCTATCTTCTCTTCTCCAAACTAAATAAACCCAGTTCCCTCAGCCTCTCTTCATGGGTCATATGCCCCAGTCCCCGAACCATTTTCATTGCTGGACTCTCCAACTTTTCCACATCCTTTCTATAGCAGATGGCCCAAAACTGGACACAGTACTCCAGATCTGGCCTCACCAGTGTCAAACAGAGGGGAAGAATCACTTCCCTCAGTCTGCTGGCAGCACTTCTACCAATGCAGCCCAGTATGCTGTTAGCCTTCTTGGCTGTTTGTACGCACCACAGGGGTTTAATTTGGTTTAGTTCTCCCTAAATTGAAATGGTGGGTTGTTAAAAATACTGCTTCAATTTAGGGAGGATTAAACTGAACTAAACACCTGTGGCATGTACACAAGGGTGGGGGCCCGATCCTTACCTGCCTCTTTGGCAGCAGGGGCAGGGGGTGCCAACAGGCCAAGTGGTCCCTGAGCTGTGTGGGAGCCCCCCAGGCGGCACCCGCCAACTGGCATCTGGCCTGGCCAGTCCTGGGTGGCGCCGCAGCCATGGAGAGAAGCACTGCCCCCTG